GGGTACCGTTGTTATATCAGCTAAAATTCACCTAGCTACCCGAGAAACAAATCATCTGTTAAAACTGACTAAACTTTATCTTACAGAGTAATAGAAAAGCGCTTTAGGGATCTAAGCTTTTTGTGTTTCCATTAAATTCTTAGCTTCCGTTTTTGCCATGTGGCCTCTCATTTTCAGCTTGGGCCTTAACTAAAATGGTACCAGTTTTCGTTTGTCTCACCACTCCGATTGTGTCACGTGGCAGACAATTTCAGTGCAAGCTTTATATTTGATTAAATTTTTAGAAAATTTTCACTCCCAAAATTTCATTGAAAGAAACACCATTGAAGAAATGACACAAAATCTTTTTACCACCCTGCTACATAAGACGATATTTGTTGCAATGTCGGCCGGTGTGATCATAGCATACGACATTGAGAAATTATCTTTCAAATGTTATATGATTACTAGTGGTCTCAAAGTTGCTATATCCCATTTGAAAAAATGGCATTTTCCCATGGGCGTCTTAGGGAATTCATGATCGAGTGTGCGGGAACTCGGATCGCTATCCTGATAGGTGTGTGCCTGATTCATGGCCAGCGGAGAACCATCAAAAATAACAAATTGGCAACTGAAGTCTTTTTTTGAAAAACAAAATATTTTATTTGTTTATTCAGGGATATCTATTTATCCTGGCTTTTTAAAGGGGCTAATTTCTTTGATATTTCATTTTATTGGATTTATGTATTTGTCTCAGTGGTTTTTTGTACTAATATTACTTTCCCCCGAGTACTTCACTATAAGAGTCTTGCTAAAAATCCGTGACCTCAGGTCTTGCTAAAAATGATGAATACCGGCTCATTATAGGAAATTAACGCTCCATGAAATTAAGGTATTGGAAATTAACGCGACTTAAATTAACGCGAATTTAATGGAAAACGACTTTCGAATAAAGAAAATTAACCCGAAAGTGGAGGTAGAATTTCATAATAAAGGAAATTAACGCGATTAAGACACAGTTGGTGCTAACAATTGGAGCAAATTTATTTCAACACTGGGTGCAAAAAAGTTCAAAACTGAACAAAACTGAGCTGACATCACTTCTGACAGCGACAACGATGAAGATGAACTCGAAATATTGTAAACCTTCGCCTTAGCTTTTGTGAAAGATGAAAAATAAAGGATAAATGGAAAGAAAGAAAGAAAGAAAGCTTGTAGTTACTGTTTTTTAGGTGTCAAGAATGTCTGGACAGGTTCCAATATTGGCTCATGGAACAAGTTTCCGCTGCACTCGCAGCATTCGATCAAATCAGTTTCTTCATGAATTTTTCACAACCTCAAGGCTCTCACAGATTATCCACGGCCTATTCTTTTCCCCATTTTTTCCACTTGCAAAATGGAAGGAACACTACAATCTTGGACAAAATAAAATGAAACAGCAAATCCCCAGCCCCCCCCCCCAAATCAAGGATGAAGCCGCGCGAAGGGCAAAAACGCGCCATTTTCCCATCCTTGATTTGGGGGGGGGGGAGGGGGGTCTAGGTTTTCTATTTATTTTGTCCAAGATTGTATGGAAGGTGTCAACGTCACGAAATAGTGGTCACCGTTAATTAGAGAGTCATCTTTCAACACATTTATCGGTTGAAAACACTGGTCTCTCCGGTGAAGTAAGGAATGGGACTTTGCAAATTTGGAGGGGGTGGTCTGTTTTAGTAGGGATTTTCCCTTTCGCATTAATATTTTAAATTCAATATCTACTACCCACAAGCATTCATTTTTCATTATTACTAATGTATTATCTTTGTCACATGACTTGCCACATCCATTTTTGACTTTTTATTTCAATCCAAATTTACACCACTTTATAAATAACACTTGTAATTTAATTCACTTTTTGTCAATGACTATTGACACAAAGTTTATGGAATTAATCGAGGTTTTCTTAAATTATCTACGTCTTGTAAACTATAACGTTTCTTGTTAAGAGGGAGACTGGGACGAGAGAAAAATATCTGATAATTACGAAGGAATGGATCATTTCACAAATCCCCGATAAAATTTAGCTCATTTGACTGTAAATGAAATATTATGGAAGGAAAAACGATTGTGGTCACATTCAGTAAACTGGTGTAATCTGAAAAGACCAAATTTTGCATAATTATGGGCGTGGCTGGTCACGTGATCTAAAAAAAGGAGTGTTTAAGGTCCAAAGTGGTTCTGGTCTTAAACACAGCGGTCTAAGATTAAAATAAAGGAAGATACTGGAAAAACAAGATCAAGTCATAAAACCCCTCATGTAACGAGGACCCATTCCTTAATTCGCCGGAGCTGTGACCCGCAGTCGCAAGCGTCACTGAGGCCGTCCATACTTACTATACCCTAAGAGAATATTTTTGCACATCGTGTCTGGGAGGTTAGAAAAAGGCGCTCTTGAACATGGCATAACTCGCAAATCATATAAAGAGTTCTGTAACGGGGTAAAAAGGACCATTAATGTTATTTCTCAGGAGTCACTAGACTGTGGACTTTTTATACCTCGCTGAAATACCAACAACGATGAAAGGCTAAACGGCTTTACTAATTAAAACTTTTAAACTGTGTGTAGCGCACTCGAACTTTGTTAAAATGACACGGTCGACGTTTCACTGACGGTTTACAAAAGGTTTTTGTGTGATTTAAGATGGTTTGCAGCGGTTTTCAACGGTTAATCACGATTAACAGCCAATTGAAATAAAAGTGAATCACTGTCTCTTACTTTACTGTACCACGACAAAATCGTGAAAAACCGATAAAAACCGTCCGTAATCTGTTGTAAATGGTGCTAATCCTTATGTTTGTCAACATTAATCGTGTTCGATTTCCTAGAATGAAAAAAACCAGTCTATATAGATAAAATATCCTTAACAATGATCTATAAAGGCACCGATACAGTTCTTAAAAATAGCGCCAAGGCAACAGCCTCTCCATGGATTGCCTAGAGGTCTAGCGTGCAACATCGGCGAGTAGCAGTAGCGTACCTGAGGTTTTTTGGGCAGGTTCGAGTCTCGTTTGTAGCCAAATTAATTTTTTTTCTTACTGTAATTATTCCTGCAATTACCAGCCGATGCAATTTCTATATATGTTTTGTGGGGTTCTGCCTTCAAGCTTATTCAGTCCATATGCTATTCATAGTTTTATTTATTGGCCTTTTTATATTCAATTTTTAAACGTTTCATGTGAACCTCGTTTAATTTCCGCACGGCCTTTCGTTCATGTCCTCTTTTTTATTAAAGTAGGTAAATCTTAGCCGGCCCACGTAGCCGGGCAGGTTAAAATTATGCGACAGTAGCTAAGAGATCCACCCTTACCAGGACAGTATCAATGCAAGCGAATTCTTCTAATGTGTACGCTGAGATAATCAAATGGTCTCTCAGTGAACTGCAGGGGAAAATTAAGTTTAGTTATCATTCCTTAGTACGCCTTAAGGCTTTGAACGATTTCAATTTTCCCTGAAAAGCTCAAGTCGCTGTTTTTCTCTTTGCCTTTTCGCTATTATAGTTCATTTGTCAGCAAGATTTGGATATTGTTATGGTTATGGAGGTTCAGCATTTACGAGAAACAAAGGGATGTGGCTCGGCACGTAGATATTCCCATCTAAAGGGGGCGGGGAATCAAATCTGAGCGTGAGTTAAGAGTTTTTTTACTTCCAGAAGTTACAATTCTAAAAAAGACAGCTAAATAAAATCTATTATTATTCTAATCCGATTCAGAAGCCGTCACGACAATACTCGTTTCTTCTTAGTTTTGCTTTCATTACTCCTTAAAGCACATCCACCAGCGATGCCTGTTTTAGGAAAGTGATGAATTGATGCTGCGATCCTTGCTGATGATATCCGAATCTGTACGTTACACCCCTAAAGGAAACAACGAGTGTTCCGCCCGCCTTTCTCATATGGGACTAATACCTCGGCTGATACTTTAGCACTTTTGATGAAAACATACGATCTCAATTATTTTGAAAAAATCTTTTACATGTATCAGCTCAGAGATATTTTCTGATTGGCCGGTGCCACTCAAAAATTTGTATATATACAACATGCATGGGTGTATATCGCATGTCTCATTGTGCTCAGTACAGTAATACTGAAGGTTCCCTTTTCCAGCAACTCCTAGCAAAAAGAAAATGAATATTTTGTTTGCGTCATTGTTGATTTTTGTCTTTTGCCTGTCCGTAGGTAAGTAGAACGGTAGTTTTTCATGTGCAAATACTAGTAATAGTCGAGTAATAGAGTCCTTTGATTCTAAGACGAGGACGAGTACGAGTACGAGAAATTCTCAAAAGTAAGTATATGAAGTACTCGGGTGTTAGCCACTGGCGTCATTTTGGCGGGAAAAAGTGATAGGCCGCGTCGTCATTCACGGCCTCTACGGCTTTTCAAGGGCGAAAAAACCGTAGTGGCGTAAGGAAGTTGTCAAATGTTTGAAGTTTTATCATTTT